TGCAATTCATTGCCTACTCTCAGTCGGATACAAGCTTGCTACTATTTTCACTTTTCTAAAAGGTTTGGCCTTTAGAATCAAACAATACAAATGTGCTCACCTCTGCTTTCACTTCACTTTGACTTTCCAACTGTTAATTCAGCTCTTTATTGTTTGTGGTTGTATAGTGCTAAGAAAAGGTGATAATCGTTCAAAGAGATAACATGGGAATGCAAACGGTAAAAAAGCAGAAGAGGCTGAATCTCGTATTCGCTCCCTATTGCTCTCATTACTTCCCTCTCCCATTCTAAAGGACAATATTCAGGAATAATCTTTGCAGCGGTATGGACATGAGGTGTTACATTGTTTCCTCCCGTAAAAGTAGGATTAGGAGCTTATTCCAATTAGCTGATTTGACTTGGATGCTTCGAAAGAAAAAATTCCGTCTGCAGCGCCCCATGTACACGCACACTCAAAGCATAGACTTGAGGAGGGATGGGGTAGGGGGGTGATGGAAGATGTGATTGTCAGCCTAACAGACTTTGGCTAACAAAAGCCATTACTTCAGCCAGTCAGTTAGTTGAATGAATTGTTAGCCACTAAAGCTTAGTGTTTATCATCTGTTAATGTATGCGGGTGGGTTCCTTGTGCTTAGCAGCCTCCACAACTTTTCCTTCTCTTCCTAGTTGACGTATCTATAAACAACTGGTTCATCTCCAGTTGTCCTAGCACTTACTGAAAGTCTTCTTGACACTCAATCCTAAGTGTTATTCTGAATAGAATGGCATATCGTAAAATGAGTACAAATAATGGAAGGTTTTGCAGAACTTGCTACATTTTTGGTATTACATTGCGAGAATCGCTTTTTTAACAGTATGATTCTAAACGGTGCGTTCTGCTACCCCGTACTGCATCTTCTTCAGACGCTATTTTGCAAATTGTTTGTAAAGATTTTACAATTTGAAAGGCTGGCCAATTTGAACCACATCGGGCCCAACTAACATTTTACTTGGGATGAATCAAAGTGATAAAAAAAGGGAACAATACGTTGTAGTGAAGAAATAGACTGATGTAAACACTTGCTCTACAATGCATATTAGCAATCGTGTGTATTTTAAAAGCCCCTTCATATTACATGTGATGGTAGCCAACTCTACCAATAATTGCGGATACTTTTTGGTCACCTGATAAATGTACCACTTATGCCACTTTGACTTGATGTTTTGCACATAAATTTGAAAAAATGACGGCTTTGTAATGCTATTGTCAAAACATTTTACCAAATTCTATCTTGTTGGGTCGTGTCCTGTGTTGCACTTCTAAATGTGTAAGATTCTCTCTAATTTTTTTCTTTTGTAGGCTCTTAATAAAATAAAAATGAACATAGATTAGCTGATACATTTAATCACATTTTCTGGTGTGTGGAGAGGAAATGTTTGTGGTCAGTAATTTGAGTTTCTTAAAAAGACGTATCATAACATTGCACACCCTTGGTGACAAAAAATTTGCATTGATTATATCATTAGTAAGCATGATTAGAATGCTTGACACCAAATTAATGGCAACTACAGAGACCGAAGAGATGAAAATAAAAAACATTTTACACTGAACGAGTCCTTTCTCCTAAATGCTGTTCTAGTTCTCTCCAGGGTCAGCTTTCTGCTTGACTTCTTAGGAAGCATGACCTACTTCAAAACAAATGTCCATGATATGATGAATAAAGTCATAGGGGCAATGTTTTAAATCTTAAAATATTGATTCTCGGTTGGTACAGCGTTCTGGGGATCTCTGTTAAAAATTGTTTCTGAAGGTTTAAGCAATATTTTACAGTGATCACATTCCGTACATCGTCCGTCCTTGCGGAAGCTTAAGCGTAAAAGCTAAATCAAGAAGGGTATATTGGGTAGTCGAGTGAAAAATTATAATGTCAATGTAGTAAATATTTTATCAAAAATGTTTTTTATACGTGTGAATGGAGTCTTGCAACGTTGCAAGCTAAAATGCAAAACCTGAGGATTGAAAGTTATTATAACTAAAGGCGATTTTGATGCTTTTTTCGCCGTCTGATACAGATATCTTTTTCTAAATCGTTTAAGCGTGACACCCATCTAATAAAGTAACAATACTTTTGTTCTTTTGGATTGGTCCTGCGTACTGCTACTACCAGCAAAGTACTATGAGTTATCCTCAAACGCTTAACAAGACATACTGGTCTAGAAAAACATTAGTAATTAACATAGGAGGGTCTAGAAACCATAAGGTTTGGACTGGGCTCCACGATACAAGAACAGTGAAAAAATACGGTTAATAAAAAGTCACACGACTAAATGCAAGATTTGAAAGAACTGTATTCTAATTATTGAAACTCAATGTGACTTCATTTCCTTATTTGTAGAAATAATAAATAATTTTGTAGACGCACCGAATTAAACAATGTGACTTGATATAGTGCTTTAAGTTTGTCATGAAGATAAAAGAAAGCATGATACTACAACAGAGTATGTATTGCCGAGTACAGAGGGGCTGGGGTCCACCGGCATGATCGGAGGAACAAAGGCGGAGCCCTTAGTGCCCGCCAACCCAAAACCTAATTCAACAAACAATTAACTCATTGCATGGCCCCTCTCCTCTTTTGAGCTTCGTCTGTATCGCTCCCCTTAGTCAACATTCCGTTTCGGCTATCACAACGTAATCGGCGCTGTGAAAAAATACCAACGAACCAACCGCGTCGATCATCTATTTAGCATGCAATTAAGAGGATTTCTGCCTGCAACTTACCTGATCCCTCCTGGCAATACTAATGAATCTAGTGTTTCATCCTGTTAGGAAACTAGATTGAGGGAGAGAGAATGTGCAGGCCATTATATACATCCATCGCTAATCGTAAAATGCTGGCCTAAACACAGAGTCAATTAATAAAGGATGAAGTTTAAAACATTACCGTGATGATAAGATTTCACGTCTCTTCCTCCTTACTACTATGCTCGCACTTCAGTGCTGCCCAGCCATATATCTACACGGGTTCTGTCCAGCTGGTAGAGTGAGGTGGGAGAAGTATCATGAGTCCACCTCATTGATATCTTCATACATGTATCGTAGGCAGCTCCGTATCTAGCTTTTCAGATGTTTTAGAGCTAGTATCTCTCCATTTGTTAATAGCGCTCCTCCAGAACATAGGACTGGGGTAGATGTCATTTCCAAACCTCCCGTTGGAGGTCATCACGGATTCTTTCATCTGCAGGGTATGCCTTACTTCCATCACATTAAGGTTCAGCATTCAGTAACAGAAATCAGGGTAGTTTTCTCATAGGATCAAGTTCACTTTCCTCTGCCACCAACGCAACACCTTAAGTCTTTCCTAAAGACGAAAGAGGTCATAATACTAGGGCAGGAAATGTACTTCCGACGTATAGAAGGACTGTAGGGGATCTACCGGCATGGCTCGAAGTCTTGCCTCCCAGTGGAAGTACAAAGGTGGAGCCTTGAGCCCCTACAAAACCAAAACGAAGAGTTAAACCTGTTACCAAATTATTACACTAACTCCTTAATCGTAAAATATAAAATAACCTTTTAATTTAATACTTTAAGGAAGACAACTTTACATCGTTTACCTTTATTTTGAAAGGTTCGCTGAAGACTAAAGATCCTTTCTTAGTAAAGTGTTAAAAAATAAGCAGTGGTATTCATGTTCAAACGCAAAAATGAAAGTTAAGAGTTTTAATCACAAACGAAAAATTGATGGCTTGATTTTCCTTCCTTTCGTTGAGAAACAAGCTGTAATCTCATGTCTGAAATATGAGAATCCACCTTAGAATAAAATGAGCACAACCTTGAATTTAATTAAACAGTATATAAGTGCCAAACCAAAGCAATGTCCTGTTTCGCCCTAAGGGAAAATGATAGTAAGTTAGACCATTTGTTATTTTAATTTGGGATTTTCCAAATTTCCCAAGGACGTGTTTGCCCTCTTAAACCAGCCTCTCACAGACACCCGAAAGACACCAATTGGTGCATTCTTTATTACTGCTGTTTCATCGATGCATGGGAAATTGACGATGCTTTGGCCCTCCACTCAATCTCCCTTATTCATGTTCTTGCAGATGGTAGCATGTCCTTCCTAGAATTTTACGTCAGTTTCTCCCACGTAATGGACTAAGTTGGACCTTAAAAGCCTTCTTGTCCACGCACGTTACAATAAAATCATCCAAAAGGCTTTTTCTACTTATAGAAGGCGTACGAGTGCAGCGATTTGTACTACAGAAAATAATTTTTAGCACATTAATTTATCTGGTGACATGTGAAGTGTTTACTGTTGCCTTATTTAGGAAAGCCAAACTCAAAATAATAAAATTTGAAATAAAACGTTTGTTATAAACGCATCTTACAGTATAAATGTGGTAAGATCACGAGACAATTTCTTGAAAGTGCTTGTATTGTTGAACGTCACCGAAACTATCTTTGTCAGCACACGGTTAACCTCCCTCGGTTCCGGCGCAAGGGTCTACAGATTCAAGGAATTCCAGAAAGGTCTAAAAAGATGGCAGTCAGAAGATGTTCGACTGTTCCCTCCAAAATTAAGTTGATATCGGGCGTACAGATTGAGGTGCACGCGCCCCCAGGATCAGATTAGAAAATGATCAAGTTACCACCAGTTAGATTAGGTTGCTTCCAATTCACCAAAGTATTCTGATAGCAGCAGTACACATCACAGATTTTAAACTTAATGAAAACAAGAGTGAAAAAATTGTTTAAGAATTGAAGCTTCACAAGGCGGCCAAATGAAAACCCGACACCTTAAACTTAACTGCACATCGATTTAGAGACAGACGTATTAAAGGCTTTACCCATTGCCTTTGGATTTCCTCAGACGCCATGCATACATTTAAGGTCCAGGTGTCCTCGTATTCATGCTGGATACAGTCTGAAAAGTCAGTTTTGAGGTTCTAGCTAACTGTTATGATAGCTTTTCTTGTAAGCAACTTGTGTATCTACAAGTTGGTTCCCCAGAATCTGGTTGTTCAATGGCAGAATCGGGATTTCGCTTCTCAATGATCAATCGCCCTGGTCTCATCGCCCATGTAAAAGTTTCACCATCAATAACTGGTACCCATGGTGGCTGCATTTGATTATCTAAGTGAGAAAATGGGAGGCAGTCCACAGGAGTCATGATGTCTACGGGAGGAAGGATAAAATAACGTCATAGGTTTTTATCAATTCCAATTGATAGATGAGATATGCGATTGCTTGGCATTTTATCCCGGCATAATTGCTAAACTAACTCATTTCTGTTACTAAATAGACACACATTAGCTAGATTTCACAAAATTAAACCCATAATGATCTTTACACAAACTGGGAATTAACAATTAATAAGCTTTGCCAAATCGAAAGCATGAGAACTCCAAAGATGCTACCAAGCGAGCTCACAAGCGGTCCTAAGCGGCACCCCTTGGTGATGTTATAGTCGCAAAAATGCAGTCACCTTTTTAATACTATGGCCCAAATCCTGTGTTCCACGATCTCTAATCACAATCGTCTACATTATTGTATCTCTCCGGCCATAGTAAATCCTTAACGCAAAATGGTCTACAAAAGGCCAATTTTTGCTTATTTTTTGAAATATGCGGCACTGTGGCAAGGATCTTTATCGGACCTTAGATACATAATGATTGGATGTGGCATAATACCAGCCAGACTCAAAGCTGATTGGTTAGTCTGAGGAACCACAAACCACTTCTACAGCTGGGGCCTCATTCAAAGGACAGACCCCATTAGGATTTTGGAGTTTGGTGCATGAGTTAGTCTTTTTGATTTTGCCTTGGTATTGTATGTTAGGTACTAGGTGTTTTTGCACTCGTTCTATTAGTTAATATCGAAGTAATGATTATCTGACTACCGTTTGACAAGATAAATTCAATTGGTTTTTTATTCTGCGAACCACTTTATTCTGAACTTTACACCACTAGGAATGCGATTGGCTCTGGAACCAGTCAAGGGAACTAGGTTTCAGTTCACCAGTGCTTCGAGAGGTGTCTCATTTTGTTCTCCACAACTGGCGTCAGGAAAGGTGCAATCATCAGTCGTTTCAAGCGGATTTTTACCTGTCAGAGGAAATCGGCTGGAAACCACTCCTTTTGGAGCTGCACTCACAACACAAATTGCTTTGGATTGCAATCACCATCAGTCATGCATTGTGCTTCCGCCACAAGAATGGAGCCGTGCTAATGCTTATAGCCACTCACGATATCAACAAACTGACGGCATCTCCAGAAATTCCTGTTATGGTGAGCGCTGTTGATTATGTTTATGTGAGCCTGCCGACAAAAATAAATCCATAGTAATTTAAGCAGATTGCTAAACATTTGTGCTAATTAATGCTCGGTTGACGGTTCTAGCGAAATGAAAATTAATTTTTACCAAAGCAGTTTGCAACTGCTTTATTGAGTCTTTTTTAATCACGATTAAAGGAAATGAGATTATGCAGTGGAGAAGCACTTTATAGACTTCGAATGAATAACTACCCAGCAATGACGTTTTATCAAGGGAAGTCTTTTTCGTGATTAATTGACAAATCTTTTGGGCTTTAAAGTTCCAGTCTCGACGTTAGTTCGGAATATCGGGTCATTAAACAGTATCACCATTTCTGCTCAATTTGGATTATTGTAGAAGGAGACGATACCAATCAAGTAGTGAACCAGAATGAAGACATTGAACAAGACCTTTTTCAATCGCTAAGGACGATTAAAACACTTGAAATGAGCTCGCTGTGGCGTCACCACACATTATCATCTTGTACTCAAAGAAATCTTCAATCGAATACTTAAAAGCCTTCCAACAATGAGATGTTCTAAAATCCCAACTAACTGGATCAATCTATTCGAAAAGTCTATCGTTTTACACGCTCACTGGATTTGGCTCCTTAACCACGAATTTGGTTCCCTTAAGACTGGAACATACTTTACTTCTAGAGCTGGGATTTATTGAATCCAGAGAGAAGTGGTTGCGCTATCAATTTTCATACTAGTAGGTGCCTTTAATCTAGTTTTCAAACACGCTTTAGGGGCCCTCTCCCGCTGATTCTGTAAAAAGTGATTGCTAACGCCATTATTTTAGCGATTGCAGGCCTGACAGTTTTCTTCTCAGCAGTGATTTTTGTTTACTTTCGCCTAAACCTATCACTCAAACATCGATAGCTGGTCGATACCATAAGAGTTACTGATTGCTGGTCCGATGATGGCCTTGTAAAATTTAGAAGCTCTTTTAAAGATAATTAGAGTCAACTTATGATCAATACATAATTAAATTCCGATACATAATTACAAATGTTCATTTTGATCTCCCAGATACTTTGTGGTCCCATGGGTACAGTATGAATATAAGGAAATAGACCGGGAATTCTCTTTAAGCGTATAATTCGTAAAAAATAAATAGCTTTTATTGGTGCTTGTAAAATGTTAGCAAGATTACTATAAAGCGAATCCCTCGTTACGCATCCGTATGGTAAAACGTCTATCCGTTATTCCCATAATCTAATGTTCTGCATGCGTCCAGATTACCTGACGATCTCTCTCTCGAAGCATTGAATTCCATTAGAATTTATTTCTGCATTTCACAGGGCAACTGAATGGTTCAGCTCAGTGTTCAAGAAAAATGGAATGTGTTAACTGCGGATGCATTAATTCAGGAGCCTGGACTTATGATGGTGTTGGAAATTATCTCTGTGGTTACTGTCAATACCGTAAGAATAGACTTTTCCAACTTGCTGTCAGCACGCCAGTCTCAAACATTTCTAACATTCCGGGTACCGCAACCCGCGACTGCATAGTGCAACCGGTCAAGAGACCCAAACGCATCCTAGCGGTAATCGACTTCCCCTTGCCACTTCCATTGGCTTGTTTTTTTATTAATTCCTCCATTTGCACTTTATATTGACAGAAAAGATAGTCCATTTACTATTTTAGAGCAACTAATTAAATCACCCATTGTTGCTAGCTAGTTACTCACCAGGCTCAGCTGATGCCATCAGACGCGCTATCATATTGGTTCAAGTGCTTTGACAACAAGGTCTAATCCGACCTTTTTTAGGTGTTTTGACTACTGAGCGTCTCGTTTTTTATGACCGAGTTACAATTTCAGCATCCCAGCTCAAGGAGCGGCACGATTTGTAGTAATTGTAAGACCTCTCAAACCTCCCTCTGGCGCAGGGCTCCCGAAGGGGACGTCGTTTGCAACGCCTGTGGCTTATATCGTAAAATGCATGGGGTAAGTTCTGCCCCCTCTCCAAAGCTTATCTTTGGTTAGAAGTCACTATAGCACAAGAGGTATTGAGTTTAGTAAACTAATTATCCAGGAATTCCATCTGATTTGCTTTTTCAATATATTGTTCAATTTCTTGCTTCTGTTTGTGTTAATTTACTCATCTCCTTAGGCAAATTTACTTTGCGCAAGCATTCAAAAACGCAATTGTCCTTCAAATACGCTTGACATAAGACGTTATGAAACATCCAGTCCTACTTCCTTAATGCTTTACAGTCACAAAAGAACGTTGCGTAGAGGTGTTGTCCATACCGTAGTCAAAATCCTCACTACTACCTTCAGAGTCTACCATCATCCTTTACTACCTTCAAAATAACTCAACGATAATCAGATGCCTAGTGCCTTCTCATTTGTGTCTGCTATTGCAACCTACTGAGTTAGAAATTCACACTTGTGTTCCCCTACTTTGCTGCTGTCACAGTACCATAAACAATTATAAGTTTTGTGGTTTCGGAGGCAACTTAGACATTTCCATTTTAAGCATTCAAAATAATTTTAAATATATTTGGTTGCCTACACTTCATCGAGCACTGCTGTCTGTTAAGCAGTCAGACGGTGGAGTCGATGCAGAGGTGGTGTGTTGTTTTGGTGGGACGAGTGGGAACAGAATTTTAAGTGCTCCCGTCTGTTGTCAGCAGATGTGTGTCCGGTATATCATGCTGCCTGGAGGGACGGAAGGGGCATATGTGGACATGGCTGAGCGGTCGTTTTCTGTTAAAAAGCGGACCACACGCGGGGGCATTCGTGCATGCGCAGGGACATACCACTGCACAAATCGCAAGAGAGGCAGATGTCTCCCCTCCAGAGGCGTGTGGGAATAATACGCGAAGTCACAGTTGCGGCTTCAGATGCATTCAGGATTGTTGAACGGTTCATTTGTAGGCACCCCGGTTTCAACGCTCTAAGCCAAAATTAGTAATTGGTATGATCAATTTAATTTCGGTTATATGATTACGTCACCGTACCCTTATAAAGAGGATTGTGATTTGGACCTAACAGTTACTCTGAAGAATAGTGGGATGTTCGTTAATAATGGGTTTAGTTTTAAGATATTTTTTATTTTAACTATCTTTGAGTAAGATTGGCAAGTTAAATTCTACTGGATTTTTACTCTGTTATTTTTCCCATCATCCATGAGGAATTCAGCGTTTCTGAGTTAAAAAGTTTGTAAATTAGGTATTTTAGTCATAAAACTAATTAGGAGTTTAAATTAGCACTTTCTTAAAATCCAACCTATTAAACAGTTGAAGTCGTCCCACGACATGGTATAGCACTCCGAGACTTCCCCCAAAAATATGCATATTCGACATGCAGTAGGGCTTGAGGCTAATGCAGAAGGTACGATGGCGGAGCACCTAAGTGGCCTTTTTACAAAAACGAGATAGTTAAACAAACAACTAATGCATTAAATAGCCTCTTTTGAGCAGCGTTTTTGGAGTCCCGCTTGGCAAACACTCCTCGTCTGCCATCACTATGTAATCAGTGCTGTAAGCAAAATACCAACAAGCCAACCTTGCCAGTCATCAAAATTTCATTCAACTGAGGCGATATCTGACAGCAACGTCACTGATCCCTCTTGGCAATTCTACTGCTTCTAAAGTTCCTTCCTTTATGGAAACTGGTTTTGGGGCGGGGAAATGTACCGGCCATCAAGCATGTTCATGGCCAGTCGTGGGAACACTGGCTGAAAGGCAGTCATGTAATAAGGGATGAGATTTAACATGGGTTTGTGGAAATAGGGTTTTGCTTCCATTCCCCCTTGAAACTTTTTTCTCACCTCATTGCTACTTAGCCATATCTATCTGGGTTCTATCTTGTTAGTAAAGACGTGGTGGTATCGCGAGTTTATCTGCAGGTACGGTAGGCAACTTTGTAAGGAAACTTTTCCAGATAAGTCACTACCAGTGTCGTCTTAGTTGTTGGTAACTTTGCTGTAGAACACAGAACTAAGGTAGTTGCTAAAGGTGAGGTCAGTTATAGTCCTATTGCGGATCATCACCGATTCTCCTACCAGCAGAATGTACACTTATTTTGCTCCTCCTTTGTTAAGCATTCAGAGGTAGGAATCAAGATGTTACTTAAAATGAGGTTCGACTTCCGCGACTTCGTAAACACTAAATTCAAAATTCAGGAATCATATGGATTGCTTTTGAAAAGTTACTGTTGCGCTAGTGTTTGTTTAGATATAATTTATTAAAAGTTTCCTACTTTTTTAAAGGTCAAAGAAATTGGTTGAAGTTGACAGAAGTAAGGAAAAATCATAGTATGTTCAGTTACAGTAGCTAAATTATGCATTTTCTCTAACTTTGTAGCGTCAGCGCCCTCTGACAATGCGGAGGGATTTGATTCAAACCAGGAAGCGCCGTTGCGCTAAAAAACATCTCAGCAGTAGTAATCACCTCCAGCAACAACAACAACAACAATGGCATGAACCTAGGTTGGAGTCGATAGATGGCCAAGCGCATTCAAGCATCATCAAACGCCAGTATCTAGCAGCATCAAATCCGTATGCATATTTCCCGTCACGTACTGTCAAAACCGAGCCCTACGTTATGCCTGGTAAACTGCTATAGGGTTAGGATTTCCTATCTATTTTACCTCGTTTTGATTCTATGGAAAATGATCACTGTCAGAAGTTATGTACGATGGGTCATGTTGTGTCATCAGAATAGGAACATATTTTGTTAACTTTGAGTTCTAACTGAAATGTATGTAGCAGTTTTTCCCATTATTTACTAATAATTTGCGTTACTACCTACTGTATTAACAAAGAGCATCAGTTCCCTGGTTCAAAGGTGCCTATTTACAAAAGTGTGTACTTTTTTTAGGTAAAGTGCCGCATTTTGATCTTGGCCGCAATGTATGCCAGTTTGACAAATCATGGAACAACATTCCGGCAAAAGTACCGCAACCTTTTTAGCAAGCTGTTATTAGCCCGACTCCTCACTCGGATTTCAAGCATTTTTCATACTCCTCAGTTAAATTTAACTCCACTTCATGGTAAGGTGGTTTATCACTAAAATTGACGACTTACAACTTTTGAATACAATGGAGTGCATTCAAAGTACAGTTGAGGCCCATGATAGTGTAATTTGCAATGAGTAGATCTAAAACTACATAGCAAAGGGCTTGCTTGATATCTTTTGTCAGTGTGAGGGTTGAGAATTCATTGAGTATTTGTGTAAGATTTGGGTATACGCATCAGTTCCAATAAATTGGTAGGTCATTTATTTCATTTTCTTTACACTTATCCAATGGTAACATATGGCTTTGAGTTCTTTGCAACCTTATGGCTAGTAAGTAGGCATTGTAAATCTTTTCCTGTAAATAACAAAAATACATTACTAGTTGACATGTACTTAAATTTACAATCAGCTTTCCTTCACATTTTGAACAGGAATGCATCTGCAATTTCAACCCAACTGTAGAAGAACAAACGGAATTCCCTTCATCGATGCCACATTCACTTTCGACCATTGCCTTGACGACTATATCCACTTTATTTTCAAAGAGTATATTACTTTAACTGATTTTTTCATAATTGGGATTCATGATTAATCTTTTCTTAAAATTACTGAACAGACAGGCTTCAAGGCTTGATAGGCCTATGTAGCTCTTTCAAGCAAACTCGCGTAAACCTCCCACCATTGAGATTTTAGAAAAATAGTTTTAATACTCACTATGTCTCTGACATCAATTGTCGAAGCGTTAAAGCCAAGTGATGGTGGTTTTGTCGCATCCATTTCGCTTACGTGAATAAACGCATTACTGAAAGGTTTTGGGTAGCGGTCTTCTCCCGTGACATCATTTGTAATTTCCCGATGATTACCTCGTGAGGACTTGGTAGTCCTCGTGATTTTCACGCCTGCGTGCAAGCAAGCCCTCGGTCCAATAATTACCGAGTTTTAAAACAATCTGGCTCTACAGTGTTTGGTTATATAAGCGTGGAATAGATAAGAGATGTTGTAGTGAGTATTTTGATGCCTGGAGGAAGCTAGTCTGGTATACGCAATGCTTCATAGCGTCCTTTGCTGAGTGCGAAGCAAATTGTTTCCGCATCATAAACCAGGATATCGATCTCTCTGTTCGGTAACTTGTTCAAACAGAAACAAGTCAAGTCTTGTTCCGGTCAAAACCTCACAAATTGGAGTCCATCCGTTTTTGTTTGTGGTCGTTAAGATGGTTCCTCATTTACAGATGAAATAGTAAAGTTTAACTAAAGCACTGACTTCCGCGTTTTCTAATAATTGCGTTCTCCCTTCATCCGGCCGTCAAAGCGAACACAAAGTTGAGCTATATTTGGTTGTTGTATCGAACATTTTATCACATTTAGTCGAATATTTAAAAATTCAGCTGAAAACAGAGCAACCTAAGTTGTTGAGAAGATTTATGCCATTACTTGTATGCAATATGAGTACTGTGGAAGAGTCGGTTGTTTAGTCGTGCCCAGGGAGCGAGTCTGCATACTTAACCTTTGTAGATTATATTACAAGGATTTGGTTTTTTCCCTTTTGTGACCTTAGAGGACCGCAGATATACTTAAAATTATAATTATTCTGTTTTGACTTTCGCCACATGGCGATCCATCCATCATCCTCAAACCAAATGCAGGTTTTTGAGCTGGTGACTGTATAAACGTATTCAAACGGTCAATTCTTGTGAATCATTTACTTTGCCTACGAGAAAGCATATAAATGCTCCCATTTTTTAGGAATGAAGGGTTTTCACGAGTCCTGGTTGTGATTTTCTCCCATTTTTCAACAAATCACCAGTCTTTCTTTGTTAACGCGGATCTTGATTTGATTGAGCTGGAGAATCAATGAACAAAAAGCTTCGAGATAAATCTCCTTAATTTTCCCATTTTATAAAGTATCGAATAATATTATACGATCAGTAGATAATCACTAAATGACTAAACAAAATAAAATCTCAGTAGAGAATATTCTTCATAAGGGATTTAAGCAGGCAAAACATAAATTACCTCCTTTTGCTATAACATACCTACAATGATCGTGAACAACGAAACCCTCGGTACTTATATTCTCACAATTATTATTAAACCCAACTTTAACTAAATTGTGTCCTTTAATCCAGCTCCGCTCTATACCTTAGACATTTTTGATGGGATGCTTTATTCGGCAATCTTTTCTAATTTAGAGGGAGAGAAAACAGCTTTTTATTGCCCTTAAAGGTAACACAACCGTCCTCACCGTTTGTTTACGGGCAAGGCCATGGCGACAGCTCAATTACCAAATTTAGTAAGTGGGGCGGGGTAAGGAGTAACGTGAGTCTAACAAAGGAATTAATTGTTTGGCTTAAAGAAACAAAGTGAATAAAAATAGAGTTCTATTAGTGTTTTTGTGGCGATTAACTTATCAACGACTGGCATACAAAGTGCGGCAACTCAAAATCCAAGTTCCAGATTTGTGAGTCTTTATGCTTCATCTTTACACTTAAGATTACTCTTTAGAACAAAATACTAGGTAGGGTAATTTGGCTCAAATTTGGTGAAATAACTTCCATATTTTGATTACAAATACCGGATGCAATGCAAATTTTAAGAGATTCTTTTTGAGTACTGATTATTAAAGTAGGTAAGAGTAATAGATTATGGAGTTACTGAGATAAAACTACCATTGGGGCCTCCATTATTTCAACGAATAAGCTTCCATTGATCAGCTCTCAATGCCCTAGATAAATGGCTAATGCAATTAAATGTGTTCAGCAATCCTTAATCCCATTGACTGTGCCTCCCCACTTTTATAAGCCACACAGACGATTGCATGTCACGTGCAAATGCAAAACAGGCTTGTGGTAAGGATGAGCGGTATCTGCGACGTCAAAAATATTCATCACTTGCACTACAATAAGTAGTAGCTACACGAAACGGATTTTCGCATAAACATTGAGACGTGTCCATTTAGATATTGGATTGGAAAATTTGAAATGGTCAGGCATCCGTATTGTAGCTACTGAAGAGGATCAAAACTGGATGAACAGTTAGTACTTTGCATTCACCACGTTCATTAAGATTTGATATTGATGCACACATCGATGCACCCGTATTTGTTTGATGTTCCTTTAATTTCCAAAGCTTGCCATTTTCTGAGGATAAAAGCCTGTGCGGAATTTATTGCTTTTATTTTGGGTGAGTACTATCAGACAGGAGCCCGACTGTGGCCAAGTAAAATAAATTGCGACTGTAATGTAAATATCTGACAAAACAGCAAATTTTACGGTGTTTATGGGATCCTGCCGAAGTAGTAGGAGCTAATATTTTATTGCATTCAAGTCTGGTACCTATATCTTTTACTGAAATCACAGGGAAAATCGCATGATTTTTACAAAGCAGTTGTAGCGTCCTGGGACTCCCTGAAGACGAAAGAAGACAAAATACTCGGGCAGAACACATATTCAGTGCAGAGAAGGTGTCCGGGCTATTGGCATAGCCCAAAAGGCCAGCCCACCCAGCGCGGTACAAGGGGGCTAATTCAAAGTGCAAAAATGGCGCCTCACCAATGCCGAGGGATAAACCACTTTCGTATTACACAGTGAGTTATGTAATCATTGAGCTTATTTGAATCGAATGTTGGGAAGACTGAGTCATTTGTATATAAGTGATGTTTTAAAAAATCCATTCGTTTCTGGGTTTTTATTGGCTAGGAATTGCGGCGTTTGCTTGAACTTTTTTCTCTTTTATTTAAAATTCCTTATTGAAGAGTGCACTTACGAATTTCGACTTGTTTAATGATAAGTACCTCGAAACTCATAGTTGTCTAAAGTTTAGTTTAATTCACACAAGAAACCATAAATTCATTAGCAACAAACACTGCCGCCATTTGGGAAAGTGATTATACCAGAAAAATACTCCTTTTTAGGGCAAACAACATTAAGTATATCGTTCACATTAAGCTAGAGTCCTAAGTAAAAAAGGGCTTATTGTTCTGTCTTTCAAAAAGGAAATATAGTTGTCTAAGTTTATTATAATTTACAGATATCATTGAAACTCAAACCACCAATGTTTCTGCTCATTTTGATTGCTATGCTCCTGTTTTTAAACAAAGCCTAAATTTCCATTGGGAAATGCATAAGAAATGTAAGCAGTAGGGAAAATGTTCAAGTTCTACATCGAAGTACATCCCATCCTACTATTATGGATAAAGACTCCGGTGTGGCTAAGGAGTATCTTCTGCATGCGATTATAACATAGGGTTTTTAGAGGGCGACTCTAACGTCAAATGCGGGCAAAGACGATAAAGCAGTCGGGACATTTTAACGTCACTCGGAGGATTAAACCTAGCGTCGTTCGCAAAATAACTAAAATCTGCTGCGGGCTCTGGCCAATTGAGGAAGTGAGATACATAGTTTGCCATTCAAACCTATACGGCTCAGTTCAGTCGTTGTTTATTTAATAAGACCCCATTTAGAGTTTACAGGGCTAACGGTTGTTATCTAATGCTACTAAAATTAAAGCAAATTTTGAAAACGTAATATCTGTTTAATACTTGTGTTTGAGAGTTAATTAGATTCTCTTCTGAAACTTTTATCAATTAAGAGACATCAATTTAATCCC